TTTCCGCACTACGGTTGATTCCCTCAACATGTCCAGCAGAGTTCATACATACATAATGGCAGCCCCCGGAGTAATAAACCCCTGTTTATTAATAGGGGGTGTCCCTGGTTTTTGTGGTGTCCCTCATATTGATAAACAGGGATTTACTCATCCGGGGTTAACATTAAATGGGTACGAGTCAAAATTAAACCACCAGGGGACGGCAAGTTTTGGTCCATGTTTCCACTTACCAGGGTTCCATTTCGGGTACCTATTTTTGACCCACAGCCAAATGTTTTTCAGCCGCCGAACATCTCAAAGGGTGCTGCGATCTTGTCGCCTGCGGCACTGAGAAGGGAGCGACATTGTGCTCCTGCCAACGAAAGTGAGACGGAACCCACTGGCAATACTCATGGCTTCAGGCATACGAACGATGGAGGGCTTGGTTCACATCCGAGGGAAGAAACATATTCAAACTTTGTAGCTACTGGATTATTTTGCGGGTCAACCCGTAGCAGGAAAAGTGGTTTAAAAGCAACAACCAGGGTTTCATCAAAGTCTGATGAACCCCTTCGAGATGGCACTTTAGTACGACCAAACAAATCACAGTTTTCCACAGGCATGGTCTTGCAACTGCAGTTGGCCCCCAATACATCGGAGAAAAGAACGCACACCAGCAAATCAGACTTGAAATTGGAAGGCGGGCTGCGCAACCACTTCAAAAAACAGTCCAAACCAACCTGCCCCATTTGCAAAAAAAAAACAGTGAAGGGGGGTGCATCTAGGGTGAAGATAAATTTAGGAACCCAGATAACATGTCTTTTGCTCCGTTCCCAAAACCCACAGCCCCAAACAATAGACAGAATTCCGAATATATCCACCAAACAATCCGCGTGTCAAGGGACCCGCAAAATCAGACGGTAAACTTTAGCAAACGACATTATATATTTTTAGTTGGCCCTGACAAGCACCTTGCATGGGCGGCAAGCATGCTTTTTGCATTGAGAATCGGTCGTTTTCCCTTGATATGGACGCAGAAGTTTGGTGATTCCCGCAGTTTTGGAGTGGAGTCCCGGCAAATCGCTGCTTGGGTATGTCAAATGGTGTGTGGTTTGAAGTTGCTTGGTTTGAAGGGAAGTCCAGAGGACACCCAGCATTTTGAGTGTCCCCATGCCCCTGTTTGAGCCGCAGCCCGATCGCCAGCCTCCACTTCAATGGCATTATTCTCGGGCACAACTCGGAATCCGTTCCTCAGCAAGAAAAGGCCAAGCACACTACAGCGAAGAACGCCCCTAAAAACAAATGGACGCTGAAAGTGTGCAACACCCCAAAGCAACTGGAGCCTGAAGGTTCAGTTGGGGAAACATGTTCTTTACATTTGATCTCCCCACGATCCTGTTCAGGAAGCTTCTTTTTTTTGCGCTTTTGTATTTGTTGTTTTTCCCCCCGGAGTACAATATAGTCTAACTTAGGAGCCGACGGAGTTCATGAAATTCTACCTGTTCGCCCGCAACTATAAGCATTCACTTTGAGCAAACGGAACAAGTGGATAGCTGGGTGTAGTCTAACCCAAATCTCCAAACCTCGCAAGCTGGGGGGGGATTGTGGATGTGATTTATCGTTGATTTCGGTTGCCCCAATTTTGCTAACCTTGAAACGGGTGTGTCTTCTTTGGGACCCCCAAAAGTGGGCTAAAAAGGGGGCATCCAAAAGAAAGCCATCCCCAAATGTGAAAAAAGAGGTCACAAATACTTGCCAATCACGGGCACGAATATCTAGGGCTCCGAGCGCAAAAGTGGCCGGCGCCTCACTGTCCACGTGGGCCTACGGACAATCTGGCAATCTCACACAAGGGGCGAAACAATTGCAATATCAGTCTTTGTTTTGTATGTCAATTTTCATCCACAACCCATTCTAACTATATTCACCCTTAAAACACTCGTGGTTTATTTGCTGGCGCCATGTTTTGTTGCCATCACCAAACAACGGCAAACCCAGTTTCTGACTTTGACGACCCAGTCAGACTAAGATGCAGTTGTCATCGCTTGAATGGGATGGCAGAACAAGATCAATTTATTGTAAGGATTACGATGTCGTTGGCCGCATTGAGGTGCCGGGGCTCACTTGTTTCGGTTTGGTGATTCTCCTGGCTCCGTTTCCGACAAAGACCTGCTTGGCCAAAATCAGAAACCAAGTGACACAGCGAAGGGCCCAAGCAGAAAGCCGGTGCCCTGGTAGGTCACGGCTTGGGAGAAGCCGTCCGCTTTTCAATGTCCAGATCTCCACATGGAAAAAGGAGAGAGGACGTCCAAAAACACACAAATTTCCTGCAATGGAATAAACAGCAGCTGGTCAACGGTTAAAACCGATCACCCAAAAGGCTGAAGACCAACGAAACAAGCCCAACAAACAGGAGCATTCTGTTTCCCGTAGCCCCCGCCTGCGCTCGGCTTGCAAGCGAATTGGTCGATGCAGTGGACGGCCTCATGGGGCAAGGGGCGCCCCTAAACGGTGACCAACCAGCTGTCACTCCAAAGATCAGCGGCTCATGATTTAAGATTGCCTAAACAGGGATCCTTACATTATACACCTGAACATTGCCTTGCAAATGGTGGTTTCCCTTTGTTTTGGTGGAAAAGCCATGATTCAAGTGGGCAAAAATGTATCTGTTAAGGAGCCCTGCTAAAAATTGGGTGACACCCATTCATCCGTCGGCCGAGAATCTCTCAGCCGTCCATCTGGTGACCAAACATTCGTCACTTCCAGATTCTGCTGATTCACGCCCTTTTCCGTTTGGACTGTCCATTTAAAAAAAAGAAAAGAAAAGAAGCCGAACTCCGCTTTGACGGAGTTCCTTTCTCTTCCCCACAATCAGGGTCGAGGTACCAAAAATCCTTGGAGACCCCTTCCTTGTGCTCCGTGTCAAACCCTGTCCGGCGATGACCTCCCCAAACCATGCCCCTCGCTTTGACTTTGAACTTGGAATCGGTTTCTCCAGCTTTCCGGTCCCTCAAAGGCATAGAACCCAAGACAAAAGGCCACGAAAATCGGTTCCTCGAAAAAATGTATGTGTTTTTGTTTCTTTTGTTTTTTCTCACAGAAGCCATTGAAATGGATGTTTGTTCCTCTTGGTTTTTTTTCATAGAAGCTACTGAAGCGAACTGCTCCTGGCTCGCCTTTCTTCAGGCCCCATGTCACGCGAAAACCGAAAACGAACACCTGCACCAAAAAGAAACGGGCACTGATCCCAATTTTGTTCAGCTTCACTTCCTGTCAGGTTCAGCTTCTTGGCCGAAACGCCTACCACCGGCTCAAAATTCTTGGCCGCTGGGGACCGCAAGTGGTCTGTTCCATGTAGGTGCCCCTAATTTAGGGGGAGTCCATGTCTTTCAGCCGCGCCCAAAATTTGTCAACTTTTTTCCGAAGGCCGAGGCGCCATGGCGGGAAGCCCATCGGGAGGAGTTCAACCCGACAGACCGTCGGAGGCCGCCCGGCGGCATTTGAGCACTCGATCCCCGCGGATGCCCCGGAGGTCGGAGAGATGGATTCGAGGTTTGGGCTTGAACTTAGGGGCGCACCCTGAAAAAGTGGCGGCGTTCCTTGGTGTCCCTTTGAACCAACCCCGAAAAGCTTGGCCCACAGACAGATCCGAATGCTCATGGACCACTGGAAAACAAAATTTTCACGCAGCTGCCTTGCTGGCGTGAGGGTGGGTTGCGAGGGTTGGCCGCGTGAAAAATGAGGCCACGGCGCCGAAGCGCTTTTTTGAAGGAACACCAAACGAAAATCGGTGCTTTATGCTACCTTCCAATTCCATTCTTAACCCAGGGATCCGAATCTTTTCAGGAAGCCATCAAAATTCCAGGGGAAACAGCTGGTTTTGAAAAGAACGATGGTTGAAAAGAATGGGGAATCAACCCCTAGAATTATTGTAATCCTACTTTTTCGGGGGGGTGGGGGTGGGGGGGGGGAGACCTTATTTTGAAACAACCCACAAATGCGGCTGTCTCAAAATTAGGGTACCCTCCAAAATGGTGCAGATTTCCTGGCGTGAGAGCGTGTGCTGTTGGAGGGAGCTCTTTTTCTGGTTGGTATACTGGGAAACCAAAAGGAAAGCTACCCATATTCAGGGTCTCCCACTTCTTGACGCGTACCCATGAACGAAAGGACCTGGGTGTCTTCTTCGGAGAGGTTCCCTTCTTCGGGCCTGGGTAAATCAGAAGCAGTTTTGTCTCCCGCTTGGGACCTAAGCCATATAAGGCACGGGAACCGGGAAGCTTCACTAACCATTCACCGGAATCCTGGCCACTGCCTTCCACCAATGAGCCGAGCATTGGAGAGAGCAAACTCCGCAGATACAAAAGGTGGGCAACTGTACACGGGTCACAAATGGTTGGTCCCGGTCGTTGAAAGCCGTCCAATCCCGAACCTCAAGGAAAAATGTATTTCCTGTAGGAAAGGGAGCCTCCAGGAACTCAATGGCTGGTTCAGGCGTTGGTGTTTCTTGTTGAGATGGTTCGGCTCAAGGAAGCCAAAACCCCGATCTCTGCCGGGAAACATGGCGCCGGCCGGTTGGCAAAGGCAGCCAAGCCCCGCACCAAAGCCAAAGAAAACATGGGCATGGGAGGTCTTGGAAATCCAAGGGGGCGCCCCGGTCGCGTCCAAAAAAATGAACCAATGGATTTGTCCCCGTGCGATTCAAGAGAACATCTATGTTTCCGTAAGTCAGAACAAAACCCAAAAGTCAAAGAAACTGCACCCCAACCCAGACAAGGAATCGCGCAGGCTCTTTCCTCCCCCGCAAATCCGGACTTTGAAGAGCACATGCCTAGGAACATGGGAGAAAAACATCCATTTGCTTAAGTCCCCTGGAGAAAAAAAATATTCTAGTAGTGATAGGTTCCCTTTAAAATCAACAAGGGAAAAACATATGTGTATATATACTTTCTTAACCAAATGGGAGAAGAAATGCGCGGGGCTTGCTCCAGGTTGGTGCCTGAGGTGACTCACCGTAGCCCGGCCTCCGACTGCGCCGCCTGCGGGACGAGGCTCGTGCGCGGCGCGCGGCGCGAGGCGAAGAGAGGGCTGTGGTTGTCAAAACCTGGTAAGGAAGTGTAAGGGAAAATAAGTACACAAAATGGAACCCTGGTAAACCTAGTAAATGGAAACAAGGATACAATCTGTGGTACCCCTGGTGAACACCAAAGGTGGCAAATGGACGTTCATCCCCGAAATGGCTCGCCATAAATTATGCAACCCCTGGCCATATGATGGCGTTGGGCCACGGATGTCCGCAGCTAGTTATGGTTGGGATTGTCCCTTACCAACCTTCATCTACCCGGGTTTTGAGCACGTGGCTCACGTGAAGTCTTGTGTGTTTGCCCAACTAACCGAACGCGCTCCGCCTGGGTCTGGGCTGCTTGGGCCACTTGCGCTGCCTGAGCTGCTTGGGCTGCTTGGGCTGCCTGAGCTGCTTGGGCTGCCTGAGCTGCCTGAGCTGCTTGGGCTGCCTGAGCTGCCTGAGCTGCTTGGGCTGCTTGGGCCGCTTGGGCTGCGGGCGCCGCCAAGGATGCCGGATGCGCCTGCGGAACAAGGCTGCCCCCAAAAGTAGCTTTCCAAAACCCTCCTATCAGCTTCCCTTGATTGGCAGGAGGGTAACCCAGCTAAACGGCCCTGAAAAAAGTTGGAGTCTGGCGTGTGGGTTGCAACCCCATTTTTTGTGGGTCACCCGGCCACAAGGACTTTGTTTGGGCTCTGAAAAACTGGGAGGTGGCGACTAAACAAAACATGGGGACCATCGAACCCTCGAGCGCTCCCCTCAAACTTGGGCCCCTGCTTCCATCCTGCGTCGATCCACGTACCTCCGGAGCCCATGGATTTGTTGCGCCCTTTTCCGGGTTTGAGTGGGTTCTCTTCGGGTTTGGGCGGTGGTTTCCCTGGGCGGTCCCTTCTGTTTCTTTCTTCGATTGAATTGTTGAAAGAGAGCAACTCAGATTCGTATCTCTCTGCTTCTCAAACATCCCAAAGGGTCGCCGGTTTCTGCGTGCCGCAGCTTCTCAGTTTCTGGCCCAGCAGAAACTAGCCGCCGGGCAGCTGAACAGGAAACCGTCCGAAAAGAGACGAGGGTCACTGGATTTCCGAATGAAACGGTGATCAATCGACGTGTGGTTTCCACGGAAACGATCGCCACGTTTGAAGCTCCAAGGAAGGAGAAGTGGGAGAAATCCCCAAAAAAAACAAGGGGGGGAGTGAGCCGCCCAAGGGTTCCATCTGAATTTGAGTAAACAAATCTCAGCGCAGAACATGAAGTTGAACCCGGCCGTTTTTTGTTCAGCGCAAAGAAGAGCCGCTGGCTGGGCTGAACTGAAGCGTTTTCTCCTCCCGGACCGCCTAGGCACCCGCACAAGGGCCCGCTGGCGGGCCTCCGAGCACGTTGCGGGCGAATGGGCGGAAAACGTGGGGCACGGTCCCCGCCCTCGGGCTGTTGAGTGGGGACTTAAAAAAAACAGGTGCAGAATCTGTCCATCCACAGCACTCCCAGGTGGAATCCGAATGTATGCCGTTGTCGAAAGGGACATAGGGCATTCTCCAAGTGGGGGAAGACTCTAGAATAGTGGCTTCCTTTTTGGTGTCCTTTCCAAAACAACCCTCAAAGGATAGCCTGAGAAAAGCAAACCCAACCAAATCTGAACCCTGGTAGAGCAACTGGGACCAAAAGATTACCGTTGGCAAAACTCAGTCCTGCCTTTTGGGGGTAAGGGCAACCCAACACTAATAGATGTTTCATTTTTCAGTGAAAACCACATCACAATACCCAGGGTAAGCTCTGGGTTTTCTAGATGAAGGGATGTAGTGTTGTAGACTGCCGTCCTTGCTCTGCCCCAGCTGTTGACATACCTGGAAAGGGCAAGCACGTCTCAAAACTTCGCACACCCACGAGCGGAGAATTTGGGCATTCACCACACTGTCATTCGACTCAAGCCTAAAACACATGGAGGGACCAAGCAGACCTACACAAGGTAACAAGAAGCAATGCAGAATCCAACCAAACTAATAGCAAAGCAACCAACAACACACCCCTTGATGCATCAGCCACGCTGCCTTGCCATTGGTCTCATGGCCGTCGCTGTTGCCATGGCCGGTGCCCAAAACTCACACGACGACGACACTCGTTGCGAACGGATCATGTGCCTCAGTCACTTGCCGCTTTCAGTCAGCTTAACCGCTCAAACGGGCCGAAGCCTTCTTCCCTGCCAGTTTTTTCTTACCGCTCCTCCCTTCCTTTGCGCTCGCTCGTCACATGATGCTTTGCTACAGGCGGCCAGCCGCATGCGCGAGTTAGCATTCGCTAGAGGCATTGAGCCGAACCCGTCGGCAAGCCAAGCATCCCATCGACGTGACGTGTCGCGCCCTAAGCTGGGCTGCTTGACATGGAAAACTTAAATCATTGCGCTTACCCAACAGTTCAATCTTTTTGACTCTCAGCCGTCCGTCATTGAAACTCGGTGAACACCCAGATGAGTTTGAATTGGTACCGTTTGGCCGACATCATTTACATGGGACTTGTGTGTCGATTTGAGGTCGATCCCGTCCTGAAACAGGTGGCTCCCTCAGGTCTCTTCTTCACCAATCCCATAACTTCCGGCTGCCGGAAACGCGCCGAGGCTATGTCTCAAAATAGGGCGCCGCAACAAAACGGCGGATGTCCCGTTCAAACACCTCGAAGCCAGGTCGCAGGTCTTTGGGCCACCTGGCAACTTCACCCTGGGAGTGCGGGGGCCGGCCGCCTGGTTTTCTGCCGCGGCGTTTCTTCCGGGCGTCCGGAGATCACGCAGGCAGCCTTTGGCGCTTTGCCATCATGCAGACCCTTCCGACCTCAAGCCCCGAAATGAGCTGGTTCTCAGTTGGGTGGGGTTTTGGGGAATGAACCTTGGGACCCCTTAGAGGGGCGGAAATCCATCAACCCCAACACCCTTCCCCCAAACTTCACTGGTTCTCAGCCGGTTGGGGCGTTGGGAATGAACCTTGGAACGAAGTAGAGGAATGGAAATCCATCCATTTGGGGCAGAACGACACTGAGCCAGCTGCCGAACCTAGGGATCCTGCCTTCGGCAGAGATCTGAGAACTTTGCCCGCCCTCGCGTCGCTCAAGAGGTTCCCCCCACCGAGGGATGTGCTAAACCAGGGTTTGGGAGTCTCCATTGGGCTGACAGCACGGATGAGATGGGCTCAATAATCAGACACATGCATTCCCTTATGACTTGGTTTGGTTTGGTAAGTGCCCGCCAGCCCCCGGTCTCTTTATGTTGGCCTTCAGCAGTACATGTGTCCCAATCCAATCATAATGTTAGGGGAGCCCATCTAAAGAACCTGTTGATCATCCCCCACGTACCGACGTATCGCAGAGGCACATAGATTTATTCCCTTGACTCCAGGCATGGTCATTGTACATTCTCGGTGGCCCAAGCAAAACGCAGCAAAACACCGCGAAACCTTATGGCGAGGCTAAATCCCCACACTCTCCGGAACTGGGGTGCCAAGGGGGCTTTGAGGATAAAGTAGGCTTCCAGGATGATTGGTCAACCCCTTGACAAATCCAAAACACTTGGAATGATAGGGCCTGATTGTTCCAATACTGTTTTGACCGGGTAACTTGACACGTCGCATTTCTCTCCATGCGACAAGGTGAACAGTCAAGACTTTTGTCGTTGCTCGCTTGCACTGGCAATCATATGAAGGAACGCTCACACCCTGCGTCAGGAAAGGCTTTATTTGTGCTCCATAAAAGCACAACGCAAACAAGCACAGCAGCATCTATGCTGCCTAGAAAGCCGGAAAACTGTTTAAGCAATGCTGGCTATAGCTGTCACGAGGAAAGTAGGATACGCAGACGCAAGCGCGGCGGCCAGAAAGTAGGTCTCTTTGCCCTACCTCTGAGCTACAAGGAAACGTCCTTTGCCAAGAACCGGGAGGACGCTATGAATCGAAGGTGTGTTTGTTTTGGAGAAAAAGTCGACGGGTTCTTTTCTGGCAAATGGTTTACAAACCCCATTCTAACCCAGGGGAGCCCATCGCTTCTTAACCAGGCTCACCTAAAAAGCTGTGAATCAGGTAGGTGCTTGATCCCACCTAAACCAGGGAACCTCCCCCCTAACTCCTTCGCGTGGAATCGCTACAGGCATCCTCCGGGCAACTTGTTTCTATCAAGCGACCCAAGCGCTCGTGTCCGATCCGAGCACTCGTGACCGATCCTGGGCCCACGATTGGATTTGGGCCCCTTTGAAATGGATACTGAAATGTATAAACGTATGCGTGCTTATATCTACATGCAGATAACATATATATATATATACATATCATCTGGACATGATCTTCTTTTATTTGTTTTTCTTCCTCAAATCGTTCGGCCTAAGGACCCCCTCAGCTCCACCACCGCGGGGGTGAGCTGAATCTGCTTGCCAGGCTCCAGGGGCGGCTGGAACTTCTTGAGGAACGGGACCGCCTGGTGGGGCACCGTGTAGTTGTAGCGCCCCAGCCCTGGCAGCGGAGGATGGATGCATCGAGCGAGCAGAGGTGGGAGGATGGATGCATCGAAGGATTCTTTCCGGGACAAGAGCGGTGGCTGGCAGCTGGAGAAACGCAAAGTGCACTTGGGTTGAAGGGTTTTGAGAGCCGAGATGAGAGACTTACCCCTTAAAACTCCAAGCCCTGGGGAAGTTAATCTTTTACAGACATATAGCCCATGTTACCCAACAATTTGAAAAGTGGTGTTTTTTTAAGAGGTAAGGAGAAGAGGAGCGAGAGCGAGAGGAGTGAGAAGGTGAGAGAGGGAGCTCTCTCGAACTCTCTCTGCCCTCGCAGCCTCAGGTTTGGAAAGCCCGGATGCCGAAGCTTGCAGCGAGGGCTTGCGGAAAGCGGGGAGAAAGGGCTCGGAGTGGAGGCAAGGCGTCCAAGCTGCATCCCTGAATGGAAGATGTGCCTAGCTCAAATTGCTCCAAAAAGACATGATGCGAAGAGGACAATCTAGGTATCATTGCAAGGGTTTTCTGCGTGCTGGCCCTCTCCTTTTGTTTGAACATCCGGCAGAAGTGCACCATGAAATATGTGTGAAGCAGATCTTTGGGCTTGGCAAGCACGCGCCCACTTCTGCAATTTGGCATCAAAAGGCCCAAACAGCTGTCCGCTATACCAAAATTGACCAGAAGCAAAGCTCCTCGGCCTTTATCTTGCCTGACCCAGCCGCATCAAGCCCCACGGAAAAAAACCCGACATTGAGTGGCTATCTGGGCTTCCTCTACAGTTGCTCGTGCCCTAGGCGATGACAATGCATTTGCATATGTGTGTACCTACATGGCATCACTTGAGACCAGTGCTACTGGCCGATTGGCAGATTGCTGGTTTAGCTGGCACCATGAGCCTTCCCAAACAGATAAGGAAGCCGGACCTCCACGAGAGGCAGAAACCGAGGAATGCTCGCCACCATCTCCTAAACTGGCTCCAAATTCATAACCGTCTGGCATGGTCGAAACTCTTCCTGTGGGCCATGGTGACTCTATCGCTGGAACCTTCGTGACACCGCCCTTCACCCCAACCTTGTGGGTGACGCACCAGCCCTGATGTTGCCAGGCAGGTGGGTGGGACCTGAGTCAACATGGAAACTGGGCTGAAGCTTGTGGCTACTCAGCATGGGTGATCTGTTTTTGAGGGGAGGGGGGATGAAGGGCGTCCTTCATTTCTGCGAAAACTGAGTGAAACAGCCAACAGTAGACGAATGGGAAGAAACAACCGTCCCATGGTAAGGTCAAAATCCTCCCTCCATATCCAATCTGATCCCATGCAAAACACCAACATGAGCGCTGTGCTTGTCACGGTCGATGAAGCCCTGTTAGGGTTCATCGTCGCCATCGACCTCAAGGAATCGATCCCAAGGCCAGCATAGTCACCATGAGCAACGGACCATACTCTAGGTCCTCCAGATTTGAGAGGTTGGAAGTAGTTGGTACCAACTCGTTCCAGTCTGTTTCAAAAGGGGAACCGAATCTCCCAACCAAAAAAGGGGTGAGAGGTCGGGCACCAATTGCTGGGGGGCTAGTTACTTCTTTTACTCAATCAACAGCCAACCCCACAAACACGAAAGACAGGGGGCCAGCATCCTGCATGAGCAACGCCTTTTACTCAACCAACAGCCTCAGGCGCCCGGAAAATCGAATCCGCATGAGCCAAGCCAAGCCACAGCTCCGTGCTTCAGTCGCAGGGCGTGCGCCTGCAGCATCGAGGCGCAGGCCGCTCCGCTCAACAAGCAGAAAGGAAAAGGAAAGAGAAGCGTTCCCCTTTTGCATGTTCTACAAAAACATTGTGAGCTGGTACCCCAAGTAAAGGAGCTCATGGAAAATGCAAAGAATTAGAACCCTAAGTAAGGAATTGGAACCATGCCCGATGGCCGTGGCAAAATGAGGCAGGAGTCCCGTTTCTTCCAGATCTGGTGTGTGTGGGCTGCTGTTAAGGAGGTCATTCTTTGGGGGGGGTGGGCTGGGGCTGCTGAACTGAAATGGTTGCGAAGGCCCACTCCGCACAACCTCTGGGCATTTCAATGGATCAAGCTGGCGGGCAAGGAATCCTCGCGGTTGAGTCCCCAACATGCCCCTAGTTTCCTCCAAAGGCCTTACTTGGTAAACAGGGGGGTAGGCTTTGAGGTCGAACATGTACCCCCCGCACCCTCCAAGGGAGCAAACATCTCCACACTCCCGGAAAACAACGGACCAATCAAAATGCGAGATGCTCAGTCGCCAGGGTTTTAACTCAGCTTCCCCCTGGTCGGCGGTTTGGATTGGTGGTTTGGTGGTTGAGGGGTGGTTTCCCACTTGCCCTCCACAAGAACCAGGGGGTTCAAATCACTAATCCAGACCACCAACTAAGGGTGACCTGGCTGACTAGATGCCCAGCAAAAAAACAAAAAAAAAAAAAAAACATCAACCGCTCACAAATCAAGTCGGCGAACAAAGGATGCTCAAAACCGCGAGAAGGGAAAGTAGTTTGCGAACCCTGACCCAAGGAAAAAAAAAAAAAAAAAAAACATGGATCGATCTGCGTGGCGACACGCCTTCATCGCGTTGCTCAAGGCGTCCTCGCTGGCATCCTCCTGAACAGAAGATCCCGGGTCGCTGA